AATCAAGAAAAAACAAAATGGGAAAAACAGGAACACGAAAGGAGAGAAATGAAGAAGAGAAAGAAAGCAGAAGAAAGAAAAGAGAGAAAAAGAAAAAAGAAAAAAAAGTCCCTTTCAAAATGTGTCTTTGCTGTCTGCTAGACAACGTGGGCAGCAGTGTGCAGATCTGAGTCATTTAATCTCAGCGAGCCAGCCATAGTACACTGAGATTCAGGCTGGTTTCTGGTTGTGAGGCCGGACTTGAGCTCCCTGACCTCCTGTGTGTTTGCACTCTGCAAGGTTCTGCTCCAGGTTCGAGCTGGCCCTCCCCACCAGCAAGTCTGGGTTCCCATAGAAGGTGCTGATTCCAACTACTCACCAGCTGCTAGTCTGCTGCTGTATTTTTATTACAATGGCTATCTTCGTTCTCCTGGTGGGCTTTAATTCTCAACAACAAGCCTGGGAGAGGCCCTCTCTCTGCTGCTCACCACTCTGCCATCTTCCTGAGCTCAGAACAATGATTTTTCTGCTCTCTGCCATTGTCTAGATCTGGCTGTGGCTCTTGCAGTGGCCCTGCTGTTGATGGTAGACAGGTGGCAGCCCCATTGTTGAATGGAGCTCAGGCCCTGCGGCCCGGGCTGCTAAATGGCACACAGGCCCAGTGGCCCCAGGTGCTCTTACCAACATTTTAAAAAACATATATACACACCTTAATAAAACCTGATAGGAAAATAAATTAAAAAATAAAACCTGATAGGTAATCATTAATTCTTACCTCCTTCAGAGCAAAGTAATATCTGTAGACTGCTCTGACTGTCAACTGTTCTTCCACATGACTGTTAAGTAATACTTTAATTCTTCCTTTACAAGAGCCCAATATCTAGAAAGGGGGACGGGGAGGGCTAAAGAAAAAGACAACAGAGACTTGTGTTATTTCAAATATATGGGGGCTGGGAGGTCAGTGCCTCAGAGGGGCAAAGACTAAGACTCTCCATACTAGCTAGCATTTATTGGATATACTCAATAATTGGAGGGAGTATCAGGTGACTTAGGGGGGCGGTGGTGATCCTATGTCAATGCAGACCTCATGGTGATGAGGGCAGAAAGAAGAGCATTCCCACAACAGTAGGTGGGATGAGTTAAATTGATAAGAAACTTGTCCCTCCCCAGGTTGAACCTTTCATTTTTTGTATTACTACTTGGATCTCAAGGAACCAGGATGTCTTCAGCTCATGTAATCTTGCCATTGAGCACCGCAGCTTCGAGGACCCTGTGACCGGAGACAAAATGGAGTTATGTTTCCGGATGCTTTAGCTGGCTCTTGGGCAAGGCAACAGAGGGGCTTAGATACCTATGGTCATACTTCAATTATGAAATGATTTTTCTGCAAAATTTATGTAGAAATGCTCTTGACAGTCCTTATTTACAAACCTCTGAAAACCTTAGTAATTATTATCATTATAGGAATCGCCATAGATAATATTGGCAGTATTTCTCTCCCTTTACATTCTTCTTTATATCTCACACCTCCTTTCTTGTTTCATGTTCCTTCTTGCTGAAGTACGTCTCTGAGTAGCTCTTTCATTGGAATATTGAGAAGTAAACTCCATGTCAGTCTTTGTGTGTCTGAAAATATCCTTCCTTTATGCTTATTCTTAAAGGAGTCTTAGATGCCCATGTGCGGTAGCATCCCAACAGGGGTTTTAGTTTTTATCTCTGCTGGGATTGTATATAGGTTTCTCACTTTCAGTCTAGTTTTCACGTTGATCTTTCTACTTGGGATTTCAGTACCACCTTGGTAATGTGACTAGAACCCTATACTTGCCTGTGATGCAAATGTAGGATGCAAATTTCTTTTAGGTATTTTTTTTTTTACCCATGGTCAGAAGCACTTGGCTAGCTTTCTTCCAACTCCTTAGCAAAATTTTCAGACCTTATTTCAAAAAAACAGGTCAGACTTTGTGACCAGGCATGATGCTTTCTTCGCAGTCTCAGTTCTCTGCATGGTGGCCTGAGATCTCATCTGGCCAGGCCAAGACCACCTCATAAGTATATATCCAGTGCTGGGCCCCTGAACACCCATCAGCTCAGCTCCTGCTTGCACACAGATGTGAGTTACAGTTTTGTTTAGAGAACTTGAGGATGTTCCTTCATTGCTCTTTATATGTGAAACATTTAAATTCTATTTTATTGAGCATTTCCATATGTTCTCCCTTGTGTGGGGCACTTCGTTGTTAGCCCTGTCCAGAACACTGATCAGAAGTTAGTCATCTTTCTGAACCTTGTTTTGACCTTGTTACTCCCTTGACTTGCAGAGTTGTTACACTGCTTCTTTTCTTCATTCAACAAATACTTATTACATGTAGTCTCTGTGCCACAACTGGGAATACATACCAGAGTGAGGAAAATACAAAATTTCTGCCCTCATGAGTTTATTGTCCTAGTTAGAGAAATAGAAAACAAACTTCAGCAAATGAATAAAAATGCTAACTATAGGGGTGAAGGGTAGCTCAGTGGTGGAGTACTTGCCTGGTGTGCATAAGACCTTGAGTTCAGTCCCAGCACTGCAAAACAGAACACCCTCTTGGTTCCTGCTGCACTTTGTGCATCAGAGTGTAGTGTGGACAGCTGTTCACACCTTCAGCATCTGCCAGAACAGAGGTCTACCTTTGTTGTCCCTGGCTTGTAACATACTGGAGGAGAGGCACGGAATGTATGTCGACTAAATAAATGTAATTTTTTTAAGCAGTTGATGGTTAAAGCTTCTTTTGCAGTAATTTTGTAACAAAACTTTTTATAGATAATGTTTTCATGGTATTTAAACTGTCAGGGTAAAGAAAAACAGCAACCTAAGGAAAAATTTGTTTGCTTAAGAGTTGTCCCCTTATAGAAAAGGAAAATTGAGGGAGGTACTGTAGGTATTAGGTGTTAGCCTGTGGTGAGTTGAGTGAGGGCTCCCCAAAAGATAAGTCCAAACCAGGTGGAGTGGTGCATGCCTATAATCCCAGCACTCAGGAGGCTGAGGAAGCAGGATCATTGTGAGTTCGAGGCCAGACTCAGCTACCCTGAATTCACTACCTAGAAAGACTCTGTCTCAAACAAACAAAATCCTAAAAAACAACAGCAAAACAAAAGATAAGTCCATATTCTAACTCCTGGAATCTGTGGCCTTATTTGGCAAAAGCATCTTTACAAATGTAATTAAGAATCTGGTGATAATCTGGAGGAAAGATAGCCTCTTTAATAAATGGTGCTGGAAAAATTGGGTTTCAACTTGCCAAAGATTAAAACTAGATCTATATCTCTCACCATGCACTAAACTGAAATCAAAATGGATTAAAGATCTAAATATTAAAATAGAAATGCTGAACCGGCTGGAACAGAGGTTAGGTAGAACCCTTGAAGACATTGGTGTAGGAAAAGATTTTATGAACAAAACCTCAGTTGCCTGTGAACTAGCACAAACAATCAACAAGTGGGATCTCTTCTTATTAAAAAGCTTCTGCACAGCAAGAGAAACCACCAGCAGTGTGAAGAGAAAACCCACAATATGGGAAAAAATCTTCACCTGCTCTTCCTCAGAGAAAGGCCTACTATCTCGAATCTATAAAGAACTTAAAAAATCAGATCTCCCAAATTTAAAGACCCAATCTGAAAATGGGCATCTGAAATGAACAGACATTTCTCAGACGAAGAAGTAGAAATAGCAAATAAACATATGAAAAAATGTTCAACATCACTGGTCATTCAAGAGATGCAAATGAAAACAACACTGAGATTCCACCTCACTCCAGAAAGAATGGCTGCTATCATGAAATCAACCAATAACAAATCCTGGTGGGGCTGTGGGGAAAGAGGAACCCTGCTACATTGCTGGTGGGAGTGTAGACTTACGCAACCACTGTGGAAATCAGTATGGAGATACCTCAAAGAACTAGGACTGGAAGTCCCATTTGACCCAGCTATTCCCCTGCTGGGTATCTTCTCCAAAGATTTAAAAGAATCATACCACAGTGATATGTGTGTACCCATGTTCATAGCAGCACAATTTGTAATAGCTAAAACTTGTAAGCAGCCCAAATGCCCATCAACTGGAGACTGGATAAAGAAAATGTGGGGTTTTTAAATAAAATGGAGTACTACTCAGCCATGAAAAATGAGAAATTAGAGACATTTATTGCTAAACAGATGCACATTGAGGTGATACTCTTAAGTGAAATAAACAGGACACACATGTGTAAATCCTGAATAGTTTCTCCAGAGTAAGAAACTGAAAGTGTAAATAAGGACTAAAAGGTATAATAGATAATGTGAAATAGGAAGAAAAGGGGCAAAGGGGAAGTGGGAGAAAGGAAAAATATGAAAAAATGAAAAAAAAAGGAAACAAAGTCTTTGTAAATAGGGAGGGATGGAGGGGTTGAAGGGAGGGCAGGGGCATGGGGAAAAATAAGAACCAAGAGAGATTATGTAATAGTGCAAATTTCCAATGATGAATGTCATTATATTGTATACCTAAAATGTACCAATAAAAGGATGTTTAAAAAAAAGAATCTGGTGATAGGATCATACCAGGTTATTCTAGTAGAACTTAAGTCCAGTGAAAAATGCCTTTTTAATAGACAGACAAGAAGAAAACAGAGACAGGAAGGCCATGTGGATGGAGACGGAGGCACGTTGGAATTGTGTCACAAGCCGAGGAACGCCTGGAGGCTGAAGAGGCCAGGAAGGGTCCCCCCAGATCCTTGGAGAGCGTGTCCCTACCCACGTCTGTATTTTGGACTTCTGGTCTCAGGAACAGTGAGAGAATGAATTTCTGTTGTCGCAGGCCACTAATTAGGAAATAAACCCACACCCCTTACTTACACTGCACTGACATCTTCTATATAATGGATATTATACATGGATATAATAATATCTTCCTCAGGAGCTTCTTGCTATGATTATACAAGACATGTTTATAAAATATTTCGCACATAATCAGTGTCCAAAAATATTGATGGCTATTCTTCCTCCTCTTTAAGGACTGGACATTTTCTTCCTTTTGTGAACAAGAACTCTGACAACACAGTGAAAATTCCTGTCTTGGGATTGCCTGGTGAGTCAAAGTCCACACCATGAATTTAACTGGTGAGCTTCGGCTTCTGCTTTGGTGCTGAAGCTCCCAGCCCTGGCACCTTCTACCAGTCCCCGATGAGGGTTTTGTAGTGGGCAGAGTTTAGCTTCCCACTGTGGGCAGGAGGAAGAAGTCAACCTGGAACCCAGAGACCACATTTAAATGACACAACAGAGCAGAGGGCAATTTCTCAGTGTCCACCACAAAAAAAGGCTTTGGGTTCTCAAGTTCTGATTCCCATTCAGGGCTTCCAGGATGGGACACTGCTGAGAGCTAAAGACTTGCAATATTGTGGAGCTCGGGCTTTCTGTACTTGTCTCAGTGCTGGGCGTGGGCACGGGTGGGGCTCAGGCAGGCGGGAGCTGATGATGCCTTCCTCCCCAGGATGGCGGGCATGGTGCTGGGAGTGGGTGCCGGCGTGTTCATCCTAGCCCTGCTCTGGGTATTGGTGCTGCTGCTGTGTGTGCTGTTATCCAGAGCCTCTGGGATAGCTAGGTAAGGCGTTCTTTCCAGCTGGGAGTCCTAGGTAAAAGCAATTAGAGGCAAAATCGCTGACGCTCATTAAACATTTAGAATTCAGAAGATCATTTTTGTAATTACTGGCAGTTTGAATGAGTTGCATTTTAACCTCTTATCATAAGCACTAACTGTGTTATTTATGCTCTGAAGCAGAGGTGGGAGGAGAAGGGAAGTGTATTTTTCAGTTCTTACTTTGGAGAAGATGGGGGGAAACAGAGATGACAAGAAAATCTGCTTTCACTGCCTATTGAATTTCCTGGAGTTGTACATGGGAGTTTTTCTTAATTGTAAAGATTGATGATATACATACTTAGTCTGGTCCCTAAGACTCTAGACCTGGGCCAGGGGAAACTACAGAAGCATTCTGTGGGTTGGATCTGCCCTTTATATCAGGCACTGATTTTGTAGAACAGATTTAGGCCATAAACTGACCCTGAAAATATGGCAGAGTTGTACTCTGGTGAGTCTGTGTCAGTGAGAAGCAGAGTTACAGCATATACTAAAGTGTTCTGGTCTAAAAACAACTGACATGAACATGAGGAGGGACTACTTTGATTTCTCTTGATTATGATTTCAGGCAGAAACAAAAGAAACTATGAATTCCCATTGTTGGAATTTGACATTATCCAGAAGAAACAGGCATGCACCCAACGGGTGCCTGTCTGGAGAATCTGGAGAGGCTCAGTGTGGAGAAGGCTGTGGACAGCAGGCCTCTGGGCATTATTAAGGGACAGAAGCAGAGTCCTGGCCCCCCAGGAGGAGCCAGTCCTGGCCTAACTGGTTAGTGAAGGAACTGTTAACAGTGCTTTCAGTACTCATCTTTCTGACCACAGGTTCTCTGTCATTTTTGTGTTCCTCGGTGCTCTGATCATCACATCCGTTCTGTTACTCTTTCCCCGAGCCAGTGAATTTCCAGCCCCAGGAGTCGAAATGAAGGTAAAGCTGTTGGTTTTAGTACTGTGCTTCCAGGTCCTAACCTCCATTCTGCCCTGTGACCTGTGGTGCGTCAGAATTGTAATTTTCAGACAACTATGGGGAAAAGATCAGGGAGAGTTTTAAGCCCCTTGTCCGGTCATCCAGGGAAGAAATCTTGTAACTTCCACCTGTAACACTGCCAGGCAGTGGTTTGTCTGATTTAGTCTCATCTCTAACTTGCATCAAGTTTATAATGATGTGTCAAAAGGCCAGCTCCTACTACGAGGACGGAGAAAGAGAAAATGAACTAGAAGTGGGAACAGACCTACTTCTGAAGTGAGGCGTTCCTGTTCCTGTAGCCTTGGCTCAGAACTTTAGATCCTGGGCCCAAGCCCTTAAACTGCCCGCGGTCCCCTGACATGCCTTTCCATTTCCCTGGGTATACTTTTCCACCTTTGATAGACAGAGAATTGTTTCCATAGATAAGAGCAGTAGAGGAAGAGGAACATCTCTGTGGAAAGCAGAAGGTAAAGATATACATGGATTTAGCCAGGCATGATAATGCACACCTCTAATCCCAACTCCTTGGGAGGCTGAATCAGGAGGATCACAAGTTGTCCAGGCCAGCCTGAGCAACTTAGTGACAGCCTGTCTCAAAATAAAAATTTGTTTAAAGGGCTGGGGATGTAGCTCTGTGGTAGAGCACCCCCAGGTTCAATCCTCAGTAGTGCCAAAAAAAAAAAAACATCCTACAGATCAGTGGCGGCACATGTGCTGCAGTGGGCTGTTTGTATCATTGAAAGCTTTAAAAGTTTTGCCATCACTGCTATAGATGAACTTGATACTGACAACTCCTCAGTCCTCATTGACCATATCTGCCAGTTCCCACCTCCGTGAGTGAGCTTTCATCACCCCTCATTGTCCTTTTCTGGGGACACCGCCAATCCTGGCTCAGCCCTGATGTGGTGGTCCGGCTTGACGAAGCACAGCTGGTCTCAAACCAATAGGAGATGGTTAAGGCTACTGATCTCTTCTGCCCCATTATTCCTGCTCATAGCCTCTTTCCTCTCAACCTCCATTTTTATAATAGCTAACATTTCTTAAAGGATTGCTATGTGCCAGGTTCTATGATAAACATGTTTGCACCATCTCATTTAAACCGAAGGACAGGGCCAGGGATTTAGCTCAGGGGTGCAGCACTTGCCTTACAAGCACAAGGTCCTGACTTTGTTCCCCAGTATCGGAGGGAAAAAAAAAGAAAAGAAAGAATAAACCCCGGGAAGCCCTAAGTAGTGTCACATAGGCGCTTTTATTATCCCCATTTTATAGGTAAGGATGCTGAGGCTGTAAGAGATTAAGGTAACCTGACAGGTCACATATACACATAAAGAGACAGAGCAAGGACTCAAACTGTGATCTGTCTTAAAACAATCCGCAGTGTCAACAGAATAGCAGATCCCACCCCAGAGAACTCACAGGCTACCAGTGTGATACTAGAGAACTATACACAAAGTTATATAACTTTTAGATTATACTAGACACAGACTTCCAAGTCTACCTAGAAACTAAAGCATGGAAAAAGGAAGGAAATTAGTTCTGAAAACTCAAGGAAAATAATCCCACACTAATTCAAGGAATTATTTCCATGGATGTTGGTTTTTTGTTTGCATTTGGAAACTACTCTGAAGGTGTAAGTACCGTGTGTACGAGTGAGGGGTACATTCTCACCTCAGTGTCTTTGTCTTTAAGGGTAGAAAGTGACATCAGCTGTATAGTTATACACTGAGTAGATGTGACTGGCTAGATGGCACCAAGCAAGTACGGTTTTGAAATCAAGGTCTGTTCTCCAACATTTGATTTTCAGACTCCAGAGAAAATTGAATTTGAGCAAAATGTGTTTGTCAGCATGGTTGCCAAATTGGAGACCTCATTTTCAGGTTTTGAGATCCGGCCCTTGCAGTAGCCCGGCTCAATACTGTATCAATAATACATGACCTGGGCCTTCTGCACCCAAGGCCTGCTAATTGGCTAATTAAAAAGTGAAACAGTCGAACGAGCAAACATGTAGCCCGGCCTTGAGAGACTCCTTCAGTTCTGGAGCCAAGGTCAAAGTTATGTTAAAGCTTTTATATCAAACTGACCTTTGCCGGAAGTTGACTGTTGGGGTGCTCTCCAGAGCTGCTGGGGAGTCTGCAGCCATCTTGGTGCCTGTGGAGTTCAGTGATCCTTTCAGTGCTTGGGTTTGCTAGATACCTTGTCTGTCAACACTGTATTAGTTTTCTGTTGCTGCAGAAACAAATTACTGCAAATGTAGTGGTCTCATAGTCTTGCAGAAGTCCAAACTAAGTCTCACTGGGCTCAAAGCAAGGGGTCTGCAAGGCTTCGTTCCTTCTGGAGGTTCCAGGGGAGAAACCGATTCCTCACTGTCCAGCTGCTAGAGCCGTCCTCCTTCTTCATCTTCCAAGCCAGCAGCACAACTTGCATCTCTGGTCCTGCTTCCATCTTTACATCTCTTTCTTTAACTTAAGAACATTGGGCCCACCTGGATCGGGCACTCCAGGCTAACCTTCCTATTTTAAGAACAGTGGATTAGTAATTTAATTCCTGTTGTTGTGTAATCTAACATATTCTGTTTCTGGGGATTGGGATGTGGACATCTTTAGGCCATTATTCTGTCTGTGACTGTTACCTCTCAGTTATTTTGGATTCTCTTCTACCTATGGGTTTTCAAAGCTTCAGTAAAGTCAGCCAGTCACAGTCACTTGGTTTGTGTTGCTATACATTAAATTGTGTTTTCCTGTCCAAATTTAAGCACCACCATTTGGCTCTGGGGAGAGTGGAGTTCTGGGGGTGGACAGCAGGTAAACAGGTAGAGCCAACACCAGTTACATGTTTTTGTCAGCAAAGATGAGTAGAATTAGGGCATCAGGTATGACTGGTTTACCATATCATGAGGCAAATTCCTTATCCTTTTAAATATTTTCCCATCTCAGGCAAATGTCCATTTTTTCTCTCCCTTAGGATACTGGGTAACAAATGTTAAGGTTCAGAGCTCTTCTGATGACAGCCATAGAGAGGCACCATCTCATTTTGAAAACAAACCTTTGTCAATGGCAATGGGTTGGTGGTTTTTAGGGTTGGGTCCTGTGTGCAGGGGTGTTGTTATATTATTGTATTTTAATGTATGTTTATGAGCTTTCCTAGGACCAAGTAAGCTACCTATTAACTCTTTCAGGTAACTGATTTCAGAACATGAAAGAATTCATGCAGGAACTTCAAAGCATTTATAAACCTCCTAAATTGAGGTATTCCTTCCCTGCATTTAGTAATCCTTTGTATCACCTACTCAAGGAGTTGAGGGAAAGAAACCCTTTCTTATGTATTTGCAGAGGAGGTTCAGGGCAAGATATTACTGGAAGTTCCACATGTGGATGAACAGACTTTCAGTGCATTCATCACAGATTTCAGATTAATACAGCCCAGACGATGACATGGTAGGGATTTCATCTTGATGCTTTCTTCCCCCAGATTGTGGATGCCTTTTTCATTGGGCGCTATGTCCTGCTGGCTTTCCTCAGTGCCATCTTCCTTGGGAGCCTCTTCTTGGTTCTAACTCATCATGTCCTGGAGCCGGTCTTTGCCAAACCACTGCGGTCCTCCTGAGCACTGTCCAGGAAGCAGAGACCCTGGCCCCCTGTGCTGCATGTGGATGCCATCGATGAGCCGAAAGTCACTCTGAAGAGCCTTGTTTTTACAGCCTTCATGTCTTAAGAGCAGGGGAGAGTCCATCTTCACTTAGATAACTGTGGTGAGCCCTAGACTCTAGAAACGGGGTTGTAAAATTGTCCCTGTGGGGCAGAATCTCACCTGCTTGTTGTCATCTTACTATCTGTACTTCAGGAATTTCATCTGTTTGGAAAGGGAAGCAGTCATCTGCTCAGAGCAGATTTTCAATAGCTACTAGTAAGTGGATTTTGGAGTACTTTGGCTTCTGCTGTCTAGTAGAAGAATCTGGTCCTTTTGGTAAGAGTGTGTGAATTTTTTTTTTGTACTGAGAAATAAACCTGAGGCCTTCACACTGAACTACATCCCCAGCTTTTTATTTATTTATTTATTTATTTTACTTTTTGAATTTTATTTTTGAGACAGGGCTTGCTAAGTTGCCCAGGTGGGAATTGAACTTGCTATCCTCCCAACTCAGCCTCTCAACTGCTGGGATTACAGGTGCATGTGAGATTCCTAATGATGAAGTTAAACTCACTTAGAAAGGAAAGTACTCAAATGTTAAAGTTATTTTAATGTGATAATTTGGAAGGCTTATTTAGATGTTGTTATCGACCACTTTGCATATAATTCCACGGAACTCTATAAAGGTAATAGGAGTCACTTTCCCTTTCTCTAATAAAGCAATAAACAACACCCAACAGCTGACTTTCGCATCAAACTTTTAGCCACAGCTTTCTGAAGCTGGAATTTTTATATTTGAAGTTTGATTGGGAATTAGAGGGAAGGCATATAAATGGTGGGTGACCGTCTTGCTGCCGTAAATCTCTGGGTTGTTTTTCTTCTAGTATCTGTGGCCTCTGTGTGCCTCATTTAATTACTGGAGGAGTCCTTTAGGGGTTGTGATCTTGTGTTTTTATCTTTGTAGTGCTTTCTCCAAGCTAGTTAAGAATGTACATTCTCAACATTAGATTCTTATACTTGTCTAATCTCCCAAACTCAGTGAAATTTGTCACTAAATGAAGGGGCTGTGGTCCAGCCTGGAGCTCCATGTAGTGTCCCATGTGAGTCTGTATCAGGAGGCTGAAGGGTCTGCACTGAAAGCCAGGAGATGATGTCCAATGTGAAAGCTAAGACTGGAGCTCTTCCAAGGGAAACAAAATCAATCCTTCCTTCTTCAATTCCCTTTTATAGCGTTCTGGTGATGATCCTCCCTAGGGTGGGTCTTCCACACCCAAGACTATGCTGAGCCAATTTAGTTGGGCATTATTTACTCAAATTGACAGTCAGTCAACCTTCCACCCACTGAGCTCTGTAGAACTTTGAGAGCTTGAGGGAGATTAAGGCCACTTCTCCTTGCTTTCTGTCCTGGATCCTATTGTCACGATAGAGAGGTCCCCAGTCCTGTCTCCCCTGAGGGGCTCAGCCCTAAATGACAAGAGGCAAGAGCTGGTGTCTAGCAAGAGTCCTGGACTGGTGAGTGTCAGGCAGAGTTGCCCCTCCACTTAAATTGTTTCCTTTAGCTCCTCAGTTTGGGAAAGGCTTGCAGAGAAAGCTTTATTCAGAAAGTCTTAAGTCATTTTTTCCCAGTTTTTAAAATATTTCTTTTTTATTTATGTTTTTATCAGCACATATTTACCATACATAATGATCATGTTCATCATAGAGAATTTGTACCTGTATATAGTATGTCTTTTTTTTTCCCTATTCCCCTCCCCATTTACAAAAGCTTTCCCATTTGTTTCCTTCCATTCTCTCTCTTTTTTTAAAAATCCCTTTTCCCTCCCCACTCCCTTGTTCTCCTTCCCATTTGAATATGTTCTTCCTACTTCCCAATATCTATCCTCCATTTGCTCCTTATTTACCTCTTGGATTTCTCACACTATAGAAACAATGTGATATTTAAACTTGTGTGTCTGATTTATGTCACTTAAAATTATGGTCTAAAGAAGACCAAGAAAGGAAATCGTTTCTTAGGCCCATAGATAAGAGAAGAATCACCCCTCCAAGCTTATCACAGGAGAGAAGAGAAGGGAAAACAGGGCAGACTTGCGGTTCACTGGTGCCTCTCTGACATGCACACTGAAGCTTCCAGGTGTCCCACCTCTGTGCAAATTTGGAGCCTGCCGCAGTGGGACGCTGCCTTCTAACAACCACACGTGGTCCTTGCACCTTTTCCTGAGATACTTGCTGAAAAAGCAACTCTGGGAAAGCTCTTATTTCTCCAAAAAAGGTGTGCAACTATTGAATAATAGTAAAGAGGTGATTATTTACATGGAGAAAAATGTGTTAAATTTGGAAAAACAATTCCTTCTCAAACAACACTATTAATGCTGCAATATTTAAACCTGATGTGACTGACAAATTTGTGTTTTAAGGCTGGCTTTGAGGAAAAAATACACTTTGTACAGTGTATTTCAACTAGGCCTGCCTTCTGTAGTTCCTGGGTCTGTAATGACCAGATGCGATGAAATGGATGATAGATTATTTCTTCCTGCATCTCTAGAAAATAATATGTGATCCTGGAACAAAACTCCATGGGGTGGGTCCCAGAAGTGGAAGGCTGAGAGAGCTCATAGTACATTTTGGATACTTGGGCATGGGGTGCATCTATAGTCAGTGTCTGAGATGGCGCCCCATGTCATGGTCTTCCTGCAGACTTGGAGCCCTCCTCTAAATAGAAATCATCTTAGTGTTTCCTTCACTATTTTGGGGTCAGTTGGCTTCAGGGTAGGTTTTGCTGTTCTGTTCCCTCTCCCTAGAGACTGGTGAGCCCTACTGTTTAGAAGTTGGGAGGGAGAGTACATGCAGGCTCCTCTGTGCAAATGGTTTCTTTTGTAGCCTTCCAAACTTGTCTCCTGACAAGCTAAATTAAAAGAACACCACCTCACCCCTTTGCCCCTCCCCCCAAATAGAGATGTTTGTTTGATCCTTTAGGTGGTGCTCTGTGTTACGTTCTAGAAGTTTCTCAAGCCAGCAAAGCACTTAGCAATTCCTTCATAAGTTCCTTAAATTTCTCATTTATAAAAATAGAAGTAATACGAATATTCCTTTTTTGATGCAGGTTACCTGATATTTAAGGTACAAATGCATCACAAGTGTATGACTTGTGGGCACTGGGGAATGCCTAGTGCTCATTCACACGACACACAGAGTCGCATGCCTGTCAGGCACAGAGCAGTGGTCCTGCCCCAGCCAATCGCTGGATCAGCCTGTCCCGCCTGTCTCCCTAACTCCATCTCAGGATGAAGACATCCCAGTTACTTTAACATGTTTTTATTCTAACAAAGTAATCTGTTTCTTGTTCTGTCAAGACATAAACTTTTTTTTATTGACTCTATTTCATCGGTGCTGCAGCTGAAGCATTTCTGTTTTATTCTCAGTGTAAAAAGAAACCTGCTGCCATTATTTTGCAGAGGAGAAACAGAAAAAGACAGAAAGGCATTTTAAAACCTTCATAGCTAGTTAGCAGTAGTACTCAAAATGTGACACCAGCCCAGCCTCCCAAATGGATCCCTCACATCTCATTTCTTGGTTTACAGATCATTTTTGGCTTTCAAACAATTCATTTTTTTCATTGGTTAATGCTATATTTTAGCTATTTATACCTGCTCATTTCCTCAATTTATATCTTAAAAGGTAAAAAAGTTCCATTAAAAAATTCTAATTAACATTGATAGTACAAATAACAAACATTTTATTTCAACTCCTTAACTTAAAACTTTAAGTATCTGCCTGTAGTTATACAGAAACAAGTTTCCAGATGTGGGAATCAGAGCCGTATGGAAAGGAACCTGGAAAAGTGTTGATTATCCTCATAGGAGCATAAAAACTGAGGATTGGAGAGGCTTTTATAGTTCATAGAGTTCAGCCTTCAATCTCCAGATCCATCCCAAAACTTAGAAAGAAGTACACTTCACATGCTGAAATCACAATTTTTATTACATTTAGCAAACATGTGCCCGGTATTTTTCTAAGTAGGTTGTAAGCAGTAACTCCTGTCATCATGCATTAGCCCAGCAAAGTAGGTCCTCTTACCATTCCCACTTCACAGAGGGGCGCAGCACAGACTGGTGAGCTGGGCACCTTGAGACCGCTCTAAAGGGGAGGCAGGGGCCAGGATTTGAGGTCAGGCAGTTTGGCTCCTTGTTTACTCCTTTCTATTAGTCTGTGTTGCTATGTAAGACAAAAACAGGACTAGAAGGGACCAGGATCAGGCAATTTGAATCCGCTTGATAAAAACATCAAGGAGAAGCAGCTGACTGGTGGAAATTCCAGAATTTTAGGAACTAGATAAGAGTCTGGGGCAAAGCAGTGAAAAGACAAGTGGGACCTCAGAGACAACTTCACTGATCAAACCTGTGTTTTTGGCAGGTCTCTGTTCTGTTAGACTTTGACCTCCCCTTACTGATAAGCACCAAACAATTGAGCAGCTACAGTAGTAGACTGAGTTTTCCTGAAGGATATAAAGGACTCTGTGCTTATGCTACATGGCTGCCTCCCTATTTGTTTTTAAGCTTTGGGGATTTCATTGTTTTCCTGTCTAAATTGATCATTTCCCAGATTTACTGTGAGTATTAGCTTCCCATTTCTGTTGTAACTTATAACCATTAGAGTGATTTAGAACAACACAAATTTATCTTAGAGTTCTAGAGATCAAAATTAGAAATGGGTTTTATGGGACTAAAGACAAGACTTGGAGACTCTAAGGGAGAATCCACTTTCTTGGCTTTTCTAGCTCATAGAAGTCACTCGCATCCCCTGGCTGGTGCAGTGTAGCATCTTCCAGCCTCTGACGCTCCTGCCTTGTGTGATTTATAAGGAACCTTGTGGCTCCATGGGTCTCCCTGACAAAAACCAGGGCAGTCTCCCCATCTGGAGATCCTTAAATCACCTTGGCCAAGTCTTGTTCGCCAGGGAAAGTTATATATTTACTGGAGGTGGGAATTAGCATGTGGCTGTCTTGGACTGGGCAGGGGCACGTTCCACCTACCACAGAATACATATACTGCACAGCCCCGTCTTCCAGCTGTAAGGGTCACCTCTTTCCACCCCACCCCCACCATCTTCCTGTCCCCACAATTTCATGTGCAACATCTGTTACTTTATCCACTTCTCAGTTTCCTCCAGCAAATCGCCCCGCCCCAGACCCCCAGGCCATCCTGAATTCCTTCCTCCCAATTTGGGTCTTAGTGGTGGCTTCCCAATTTAAACTTTATCAAGAGCTTCTTTCCCATTCTTTCCACTGCTTCTTGTTTCCCCCACCCCCACACTAGCCCAACCTCCCAATGGATCTCTAAAGGAGAAACGCAAAGAGTTATTGCTTTTTAATTACAAGTGCTATTGTAGCATCTATAAGGAAGAACACTTTAAGCTTAATTGAGACCAAATGTGAAGTTAAATTAAATGAATAACTAATTAACGTAATGCTCTTCCATTAGCCCCATGTGAGTGTGAGGGCCCAGAGAGAAGGCAGGTACCAGGCCTCTGGTGAACACTCAGTGCCCAGCTGAGGGGCAGGGAGCCTGGAGCTGGGAGGTCAGTGCAAAAGGGACAGAGCTCAGGGCTGCGCCCCCCCCCCCCCCCCCGCCGTCCAGCTCCCACCCACAGCGGAAGCCCTCGTTCCTCAGCTGGCCTCTCCCACCTCTCTAGTGCCAGCTTCTCTGCTGGTAGGAGCTGTTTGTCTCCATTTCCCAGGGGCATGGCGAGTGCTCATTCTCACTCCCCCCTTCACTCCCCTCACTGCCTTATCAAGCCAGTCATCCAAGGCCCAAGCCACACACTGATTCCTCCAATTGCTCTGGGATCACCCCTGCCAGCCCATCTCGTCAGGGCTGGACTGACAGTGGGAGTGCTCTCACTGTGAGTCACTACCTCCGTTGCTTCTTCTTCTTCTTTTTTTTTTTTTTTTACGTTTCTTATGTTCTTAACTTTTTCATATCCCCTATCTTGTCCCCTGAGGAGACTAGCTCCTTAAGGCCGGAAGTGCATTTAATACTTAGCACCTTTCACAGCAATTCTGTGAGGTATGGAATGTTATTGCCATTTTTTGATGAGGAAACAGATGTAGAGGCCGTAAGTGGTGAGGTTGAGGAAGAGAAGGCTTCAAAAAAGTCATCCTTCCTACCTTGACCTTCATGGAGCAAAGTTGGCCAAAGGGAACCTCTCCTATCTCCTTTCCAAAAGCAGGACAGCAACAGAGGCCATGCTGGGTTTTACCACGGGATTATATCGCCATCTAGTGGCTTAGAGAAGTAACACAGCGTCTCCTTCAGCGGGTCCCTCCTAAGTGATGATGTCATAGTTCTTCCTGGTCTTCAGAAACTGAGCACGAAGCCACACATCACAGCTCCTATGGAGGACTCTGAGGACTTAGAGGTCGCTGGAAGACTCCTACTTTCAGAGCTGAAGTGAGCATCGTGCATATGGAGCTTACTGAGTTATCATCACACAGCATACAGCCCACTTCACTGCTGAGGCCGACATGTTCAGCTAACACACCTGCCATGCAGCATCCTAATAAATACAATGATTGTATCTAGCATGGACTCTTGACTCCCTGTGTGCTCCAAGTCATGGGTGTCATGGTCATGCTGGTGGTCACCAGCGCCTGCACGCCAATCTTGTGGCCCCAGGACCCTGCCTCAACCACCAGTGTGAACCCCACATGCTGCTGCCATACCAAGCCCTACCAAGGATGAGCACAGGCTCAGTTGGCAAAGAAAGTCTGCATGGTGCTGATGGGCAACTGAAGAGGTCAGGTGGAAACACCAGGAGCCAGCCTGGCATGTCACAATCCGGGGTGGGGTGGAGGGATTGCGTGCATCAGGACACTGGTAGGGGTGCTGCAGGTGCCTCCAAGGAACTGCACATTAGCAGCTGCTCAACGGGCCAGGCAGCATCACCATTTCTTGTGCCCCCAGTGCTCAAGGCATAAGTCCTTTCTCTGTCCATTGTCCCCTTCATTCCTACAGCAGCACTGGCATGCAGTGGGCACTCAGTAACCAATGGGATTTCATTCTCAAAATGCTTAATTTACATGAGGGTATTTTCAGTCATGCTCACCCCTGTCAGTCCCCACAGCACTGACCTTGATGTCACCAGCCACTGAGACATTGTCAGGGGCTGAGAACCAGGGTGAGGCAAGGGAGGTTCACTCTCAGGGTAGGCACAGCACGAGCCAGCGAGCCCCTGACATCGGGTGCCTGCCGAGGTACCGCCTGGCCCCACCCTAGTCTCAGCCCTGGAAGAACAGTCACAATACTTTAATCAAAGCCAGAGAGGGAGTTATAAACAGATCAAAGGGAGGATAGAAGAAGAGGGTCGAACTTGGGGAAATACACAGAGAAGACTGGCTCCTGACAAAGGGACAAAGAGAGGTCGGGCACATTTGAAACGGGGTGAGATGCCCCCTATAGGCACAGGCTGATTACAGAGATTAAAATCTAACTCGGGAAGGAGAGATGCACCTTTGACCCTAGAGAGCCTCTGCCTCTGCCTGGGAATCTGAGCAAGCAGGAGACTGAGCATGTGTTCTGATCCCAGTCCTTGTGCTGGCAGGCCCAGCACTCAGGCCCTGAGTCTTCCATTTCCTCATACTTGGCAGTCCCCTTCCATGGCAAGTCTTCAACACCCTTAGCAGCCCTATGGGTTGGGCTTGGCTGTTTGGGGTTAGATCGAGAGTCTTTGCTTCTCCCCTCAGTGGAAGTTTCCGTTGTCTTCCCATGGGGAGCTGTTTGGGGACCCAGTGGGGACCCTCCACGATTCACTTCCAGTTGAGGCTCATATTTCTTTATAGCTGCAATGAAGAAGAGAGAGAAGATGGAAGAGAAGGTGAGATGCAATTTAATAAGCTCTGCCATTCATCTCTGCTCCTTGTAACCAGGGCTCCCTTTTACCTCTTGTACAAGGACCAATAAATAAGCCAATAAACCAGAAAACCAAAAAATTTTAAAATGTTGATGCCACACATGAAGCTTTACAAAGCCCTTTCACATATTCCATCTCATGTCAGCCTCAGATCAACTCTGCCAAATGCTGAGGGATAAGCGTTCCCATTGTGCACAAGGACAAAGAGGACCTGGGGGTGCACCCACGGTCTGAGCCAGGATTGTCCGGGGACTCCAGATCCCCCCACCCCAGAGCTCTCTGCTCCAGAAAATCCCTGCACACCCCCACAGGCCTTCCATAGAGGAGGCCCAGCTTGGGACCTCAGCAGTGCTGGAAAAGCCAACCCCACAGTCCTGGGTTTGGCATTTTTGGTCTATCGGGATCAGAACTACCCCCTGAGAGCACCTGACTCCAAGTGGCTGAGAACAGAGAGAGCTACAGTATCTAAGGCTGCGCTCCATTCCAGGAGGAGAGCAACGCTCATGAAATAGTCCATCTTTTCCCTTTCTGCTTCTTTTCTTCCCCTCCCAGAATCCCTCAAATGGAAGGAAATAAACCAAGCTGTCCAATCATGGGCTGGAGGTGTTGCTTAATAGCGGAGTGCTTGCCTAGCATGGGAAAGGGCCTCAGTTCCATCCTTAGCACCAGTAAAACAAACCAACAAACAGAAACAAAAAAACCAAGGCTGTCTGATTCCCCGGTCCCCTCCTTCAGGACAGAACAAGGCAGGACAGACACTATGAATGTTTCCTGCTTATAGTGTTGCTTCCTGGTTTCAACTTTTCTCCTCATAATGATACCTTCCTAAAATGGAGTACTTCCCCAGATACCACTCGGTTACCATGACCCCAGGGGAGTGATGGGGAACCCTTTAGAGCTTTCAGTAATACCAACAGCCCGCTGGGGCACACTTGACATAGGTTCACTACCACTGCCCCAGGGGTTCTTCTCATATTTACCATCCCATCCAGGTCCAGGCTCCATCCAGCTCCTCATTAGTAAAAGGCTCCTGCTCAGAAGGAGCCAGAAAGGCCACAGGGAGAGTCACCCAACCACCAGCACCAGTGAGCAGCTCAGCCTCTGGCCAGCCCCTAGCTCAGCCACTCTGTCCCCACACCCACCACCAAGAGACACCAGGCAGACAGCTCACCAGGCCAGGCATGGACACTTGCTTCAAATTTTGTTTCAGAGGCTCTGATTGGTAGTTGCTTTTCTTTGCACACCCCAGGCAGAGGGGCCAGAAAAACTTGGTTTCTGAACTTCAGGAGGCACCTGCAGCTCAGCTTGAGTTCAGTGGGAAAAGGATTCCCACCTTTGGGCCCTCTGTCCTAAGGGTGTGTCCCTCAGGGGAGAGGCTGCTACCCTGTGTGGTATCTCAGACCTCCTGAGAAACCCTTCTCAAGTACCATGCTCTGCCCGGGTTGAGTCTCTGGACCTGGCACCCAAGAAAAAAGAGAAAGTTGGAGAAAAAATCATACTGAGGAGAGAGGATTTGCATACAGCCCATGATCTCTAATGACATATTAGTCACAGACTTGAAGAAAATACTCACAAAAGTCATGGGACTTGAAAATACTATCGCGGGTGGGTTAGGGCCAGACTAGAGCTACGGAGACACATGGGACAACAGAGGACAGGTTAGTGCGGCTGGGATGGGGTGCGGTCCGCCCTGCCCACTGGGAGGGCTGCCTCAAAGTCCTTGGGGTCTGAGCTAAACCAGCCTCAGACTGAGTATAGGGTGGCTGAGCCCTGGGTGGGTTCCCAAAGGAAGTAAGGTTGGGAGAGATGGGCCTTCAGCTGCTGGTGGACTCACCCTCTGCCTCTGCTTAGGGACACCTTCCAGGCCAGGATCTCTTTGTACACCAACCGGCACAGGAGCTGTGGGAAGTCCAAGGCACAAGTGAAGGGAGAGCACCATGAGCACCAGCACACAGCTCCCGGGTCCAGCTGAGCAGGGGGCTGGCAGCAGAGAAAGGGGTTGCACAGTTTCACTGGACAGGGGATCACCCCGAGAAGCAAGTGGTTCTGAGCAAAGGCAGCTGTTCTCATTGTCCCAGAAGACTGGATGCTTTGGCCCTCCAGAATGCCAGTGTGGCAGGACAGAGCACCTCCAGTACCCATCTGTGTACCCCAAGAACTCTTACCAAGCAGGCCAGGATGTCAGCGGAGATGAGCATGTAGAAGACGTTGTTCCAGCCCGTGGGGGAAATGAGCCCAGCCAGCAGGGGGCCCAGGGCCGCACCTGTATGGAGGGTAGCCAGGTGAGATGGGTCCACACTTCCCTGCCTGCCAGAGGACAGCATACCAAAGGGTCTGCCCAAGGGGAGGCCCAGGTTCACAGACCTATGGAGCCAGTGCCGTCGATGATAGCTGTGACGGTGGAGAGGGCCTTGGCATTGCCCTTCAGGCTCTCATGAGTTCCCTGGGGAGAGAGCAGACTGTGGGGCCCAGCTGAGCAGCAGCACCCAGCAGGACCAGGGAGAGGTTGACTCAGGGAAAGAAGAAATTGTGGCTTGAGGTTGAGAGAAAAGAGGAGCCCATGGTGAGTTCTGAAGGACTTTGAGGGTCTCGCCCCTGCAGGGGTGGAAAGGGGAAAGGGCTGGACTCAGAGGCTCTGGGAAGACCCTCAGAGCAGCCCCTGGGCCCTGGGGATGGCTCACTTACCAGGTCAGCAGAGACAGCTGTGGTGATGAGCGCATATGGGCCATTGACCAGGGCCCCGCAGATAATCAGCATCACTGGGGAGCAGCAGAGACGGTGCAGTTAGAGATGAGGGGCACCCACAGCCTCCAAGCGGTGACACCTCAGGCCTCCACCCTCCCAGCTTCTCTGATGTCCCCATGCCTGTGGATCCTCAAGGTTATGTCTTTCCTGTGGACCTGCAGGACATGTCTTCTTACCCATGGAGCTGGCGATCCCGTTCTGGCCCACGGAATTGTACAGAAACATCTGTGAGAGGGGGAGAGAGGCAGAGTTGCACCTCAGCCCCCTTTGCTGGGCCAAAGTCCTGAGTCCAGAGCAACCCTGTCCTGATCTGGAACCCCATTCCTCCTCCCTCTTACATCCAGACTTCTCAGTCTTTAAGGGTCTAGGGAGGGAAGGTCTAAAACAAGGCAATCTGTTGTTTCCCTTTTCCTAAAAAGTCTTCTCTCATGTCTAACAACAAGCTTTTTCCCTTTCTGTGGTGAAGAAGTTTAGCAGCTGGTCTTCCTCTTCTCCACTAAGTCAGTCACTGATCCCTTTCCAAAACTCGAGTCCTGGCCTCCTTCAAGGACTCTCCTGCTACTCTGTGGACTCTCATTTCTCTCCCTAATGTGCACATAGATGTACAAGTGTGTGTGTGCACAAGACAGCTGTGTGCACAGATGTGGAGACAGGCACACAGTCAGAGGCTGAGTACCCACTGACAAGACCTGTGCTGTGCCCTTGAGATCATACGCACCACCGGGGCAGCCAAGATCAGCATGACGCAGCACGTGGTAGCCCTGCCATTGATGTAGTCAGAGACCAGCCCTGCCATGATGCCACCTGCAACACACAGCCACTTACACATGGCCCCAGAGAGGACCACACCACCCCTCGACTGCTGCCCAGCCCTGGCCTGAGCCTGCCACCAAGAACCGGCAGAGTTTCTCCCTCCCCTGTACTCATCCCTGCAGGAAACCAAACACAAACACCATCTTTCTTACAGTCACCCTGCTGGGCAGGAGCAGAAATAAGAAAACACTCAAGACACCTTTCTTCTCTGGAGCCCATGGCCCAGTAGGCTGTTCCTTCTTTTTGCACCCTACAAAGAAGCAGGGAAGCCAGCCTCCAGCTGAGGAGGTCAGGGCCTCACCTATGATGCCACCAACATCAAAGAGTGTAGACAGGTCCCCAGCCTCCTTGGCACCAAAATGAGCTGTGGGAAACACAAATATATGGTCAGACACAAGCGGTGGTTCAGGGCAAACATCCTGAGTTCCCTGGGAAGGATCCCTACAGGACACGCACCCGGTCTGACCACCTCCTCAGATGAGGGAGCTGGGTGCAGGGCTTGGCTAGGGCTGCCATAAGTCTGGCACTTTGGGACTTGCCTGCTCTGCCCCCCAGTCTTTCCCTGCAGGATGATGCTGACCTCTCAGAACAACCCCTCTCTTGCAAGCCTGGGATCTGGCCCCTGAAAACCCTGCCACAGGGGGCCATCTCTCTCCTGGAGCACAACTGATCTCACCAAGCTTCAGCCCACCATGCACTCTCTCTTTGCTCCGCTCCTGACCTAGCAGCAGGCCCCTCTAGGAGGTCCTCCCAGCCACCTTAAGTCTCTGCTAAAGCACAGAGCCAGGAGAAGACATTCGGGAAACAGGGGACCTCATGCCCTGGGTGAGTGTCCAGAACTAGACTTGCATCCACATCCCCAAGGTTGACTCATAGTTGAAGTCAACACCAAGGCCACAAAAGTCACAGTGTCCATGAAACCATCCCAGCAGTCTACACTGTCACAGAGAAGGGCCCCTCGTATGGAGTGGAGGGGCAAGCGCCAGCCTGAGACCCTGCTGTGTCTCCTGTTTGGAGCAAGCTCATGAGCGGTCAGGCAGCACTGTCCCTCCCAAGCTTGGCAGGGAGTGGAGCAGCCCTGGGTGAGAGGTGGAGTTTGAGGCTCATGGGGGCTGGGAAGGTGGAACGGGCCCCTCCTTGATGGAGCCACCCCACCTATAGAAAAGCAGAGATCCAGGCCAGGTGGACATGAAACATCCTTTTCAACCACAAAGGTCATCTCTCCTCATCTGTACGTCCTTGGGCAGAGGCAGGGGCAGAAGAGAGTAGCCCACGAGGTGGGGCTGCTCCCCCAGTGCAGCCCAGCAGACCCCAACAAAAAGACATCAACCCTATGAGGTCCCCTTGGCAGAAGAGCACCATGGTCACCTGCACGCAGTGGGGTGACTCACCAGGCCTTTCCTGGGCTGGGAGAGGTACTCATGAAGACCTTTCCTAGCACTCCAGCCCCAACACCTGCGAGCCAAGCAGCCCCGAGAGGATTTCCCCTACACTCAGGCTGGAGGAGAAGACAGGATTGCAGAACAGAGCTTTGCGCTACAAATGCCCAAGTCAGGTCCAGGGGAGGGCTGGAGTCAGAGTCTAGGGGATGGGTACACAGGGCCGAGCTTCCCACTTAAACAAATAACTGAACAAATCTCAGGTTTTAGGACAGGCTCAGCTGAAATCCTGCCTGGGTACTGAAATCATATGCAGCCATGCCAGGGCTTCCTCCCCAGCAAGCAGTGGCCTGGGGCTCCTCAGAGACCCCATCCTCTCAGCTCTTCTTTGCCTCGGACTTACCTACATTGAAGATATAGAGGGGTAGCCAATAGAGGAAGGTATAGCTGACCAGCTTGGCAAAGAGCAGACACAAAGAAAACTCGATCACACCCTGGGGAATGGAACGGAAAACACAATAGAAAGGGGTCCAAGATCCTCCAGCCAGTGGTGGCCCCACGAGGCAGCTCAGTGCCAACCCAGGACTGTCCATTATCCCATACAAAGCAACCTCAAATAGACACCCAATCCCAATAGGGGAAATGCGCCTGCTGTGTCCAGACAGGTCTCCCACACTTCCCTCCCCAAGCAGCTGGCTCTCCTACGGAAAACACCAGTCACTCCCAGCACCTTGTCTCCTGACACCCTATGGAAAAATTCAGAAAGCCCCTCTCTTCCCTCCATTCCAGAGACTTCTTACCGGGATCTTGAGAGCCCCCAGGAAGCTGATGGCGGCAGGCTCAGGGCATGGCTCCTTGGAGCAGCTAGCTGCAGCCTCCATCCTGCTCTCCCTGTGAGAGTAGGAACTGCTCCCAGGGTCCTCAGGGTTGTCCTGGCTGTCATCTGACCCACCCTGAGCAGATGAGAGAAGCCCTCACTGGGGCACACCCATGTGCCACCTCTCCTAGCTGGAGGGATGGCCCGGTGAGAGACTAGGGCTCCCAGCCTCGAAGGGATGGACGGACCTCTGCTAGACCTGTCAGGTTGTTGGGGACCCAACCCCAGGGCCCACCTCTGGCTCTATTTCCCAGTCTTCCCCCTCTGACTGGAGGAGGGTCGGGACAGGGCTGGGAGAACTCCCACTCACATGGTGTTGTGGTGGGGTGCAGTCCACATCTTCTGGGTCTGAAAAAAATAAATGACCTCTAGGAAGCTTCCCAAGAGGCCAGGCTCTCTCTCACTTCACGTGGGGCCTAAACTGGTGGTGGGGAGCAGCACAACAGCTCCCACACAGCCTCCCAGCATGAGGGATTGGGCAATGGGGCTCAGGAGGACAGGGTTCTAGGCTGGCTTTTCTACTGACTGTGTCACGACTGCCTCTCAGGTACAAAGTGGCTCTTACACTTGGGCTCCCCAACTCACAGGCCTGTCAGAGAATGGGGAAGACAACAGCCATCAGCACAGGATGTAAGCAATCAGGTGCTTCAGTTACATCCGCTCCTTCCCACCCCTCCTAGACCCAGCCAGTGTTGGCTGAGCACCCACTACAGGCCAAGCACTATGAGGACACTGTCTCGCTTGAACCTTCAGAAATCCTAGGGTATAGTTATTCCTTCTTTACAAATGACAAAACTGAAGCTCCAAGTCACACAGCTGATGCCCCCACCCCATGACCAGCCATCCCCCCAGTACATCCAGCTGCTCTCTCCCACTCGTGGGGTCTTTGGGGAGGGTGAGGTCCACTCACACTCAATGAGGAAGAGGAAGGTAAAGATGCCCATGGCAGCGGTGATAATGCCAGGCACAATGAACGACAGGCCCCAGTGACTGTTTACCCAGAGGCCTGCGATCAGGGAACCCAGTATGTTGCCCACAGATGTGTGGGAATTCCAGATGCCCATGATGAACCCCCGCCTGGAGGGGAGAGAAGGAAAGGAGAAAAAAGTAGAAGTTATTGCCCTGGTCAAGCTCAGAGCACTGGCTGCTTCCAGCCTCCAGGACATACCCAAGACAGGGACTCTCAAAGCCGAAAGACAGTCAGTGAGGAGGCTTTGGCTGGTGTCAAGCAGGCGGTAGCAGGAGCCGGGGTCCCCTTCCCTTTGGCCAGTGCCTTGAGCAAATCCAGATAGGAGCTCACCACACTAAAGATGTGAAGCCCCTGCTCTTTCTTCTCTTTTGCCCCTTAATTTCACTCTAAATCTGTACTCTCAAACTGAGGGCAATCCCCCCCAACATCCGGTAATATCTGGAGTTTTTTGGTCACAACCCTGGGGTTTGCTACTGACGTCTCCTGGGGAGATGCCAAGGGTCCCGCTAAATACCTACGTTGTGTTGGACAGTTCCAAATGCCAGTAACACTAAGGGTGAAAAATCTTACTCAGAAGCAACTTGTTTTGCACAAAACCCAGTTCAAGAAAACAAAAACAGTTATGTAACTATTATGAGAAAAAACATAACTGAGGCTGCCTGTACTATGGGTAAAGTCCTCATCCGTGAGAAAGCCAGTCCGCTTTATAGCCTGGAAACATTCCCATCTCAGCTTGCGAAAACCAGCAGGACACGGGCATTTTCTCATCATTTCCCCTGAGCCCCCTGAGGTCCTCTAATGGCTGCCTCAGTGGCCCCAGACCTCCTTGGTCCTCCCTACTCTTCCTTCTTCTTGTCACACTCACTTCCCCTTCCCGAACCAGTTGCCAACGCAGGCCACGACGGAAGGCCAGCCTGTGGTCTGGACAAGTCCGTTGCAGATCTGCAAGGAAAGAGGACCAAGGGTGAGAACAGGTCTGGGCATGTGCCCTGCTTGACCACCCTTGGTGGACGAGGTTCAATGTCCTGGGTCTCCACATTCCACCCTGCAAACCTGTCCCTTACACACACATCCACATACACCCCATTGTCACAAGCTGGTTTCTTGTCTAGCTCAAGATTATTGGAGCCAAGTCCGAGCCTCTGCATCTGAAGTGGCCTCAGTATAGTGCTCAAGGCAGAAGTATGAGCCAATAGTGCATGGCTGTCAGGGTGCAAAACAGGACCTACAAGCAGGGAGTCCAGGTCCTTGCCTGCTATACCTGAGGGTGGCTGGGGAGAACTGGCCGCCTCTAGGATCCATTCTGTGATGGCAACAGTCTTGAGTACATGACTTAACATCATACCTGGATGAGCACAAAGTACCAGAGCATGTGTATGTTCCAGAAATATCCCAGGCCGAAGAGGGCGGTGAAAAGACCACTGAGCAGCATTCCAGCTGAAAGGTAGTAACGGAGGGGGAGCCGCTCCCCAAAAATCCCACTGGAGAAGAGAGAGTTGGATTTAGGGTTGATCTCCTCTCTGTCCACTCTACCACCTCATTCCTTCCCCCACCCATGCTGTTGAGGCCACTCTGGCCAAGATGTCCATGGATGACCCCCGTGCTGACATCTGTCGGGGCCAGCCTCACCTCTGCTTCCAGGACCTCTGTTTTATTGGATGATGCTGCCTGTGAGGTTGCTATTGCTCAGCTCCTCCCCTTGGCTGACCCCTCCTCTCACTCATTTTCTTCCAGACTAGGCTCCTGCATTACTTTTCTGCATTCACCACTGCCCATGTGCTACCCAGCCCCATCTGTGAGCTTCCATTCTGCTCTGCACCTGGAGCTTCAGATCCTATCCAGGTACCTTTTGGATCTTTACTTAGATGTCCCCAAAGCATTTAAAACCCAGCACTCCAAAACTAATTTCCTCTTCCTCCTTCCGCCAGCCAGTCCCCAGCCTGCACTCCTAATCTAAGTGAAGGCCACCACCATCCAATTGGCCACTCATGCCAGTCCACAGGAGCTACCTCAGGGTCTGCTTTTCCTTCCCACCCCTCACAATCAGTCCCTGAGGTCCACCCATTCTATTTTCCTCTTTTCTTTTTCCAGTGCTGGGGAGCAAATCTAGAGCCTTACACTGAGTTATACTCCCAGCCCCCATTCTGCCCCTTAAATGGTTCTCCAGTGTGCCTATTCCTTGGCACCTCTATTACCACCAAGTAACCCAAACTCTCAAGCTCAGCAGCCTGGGCTGGTGTCAAATTGTTCCCTTGGTGTGACTGGGCTTGCCCTCCCTCGAATTTACCTCAGCATCCCTCCCCTACAAAGTGATCTATCCAAAGTGTAAGTCTGGAATAAAATTCTTCAGTGGCTGTCCCTTCCCACAGTGTGACACACAGGCCTCATCTGCGATTTCTGGCAATGAGCTCCATGCTGGCTCTGCCACTCTGGACACAGCTCAAGATGGGATCTTGCGTGGATCTTCTCCACGTCCAGGGCTATTCTTAGAGGAGCCCAGTCCATACCCACCAGCATTGCTATCTCGGTGAATACTCAAAAGGAGCATTCAGGAAAAGGGGCTGCTAACAGTGGGGTCCACCAAGTGAAGGAGAAATCTCAGTGGCCACCCACAGTGAGTAAAGGAGGCTGGTTGTGGACTAACAGCCTGTTCCCACCTAGGGGAGCTGTCAGCATGCTCACTTCAGCCCACTGCGCCCAGGTCAGTCAGCTCTGAGCTGTCTCACTGTGGGATCTTCAGGCTTCTCTCTTTACCTGATAAACATGCCGATGGCATAGGCCACAAGGAAAGCGTTGTCCACAGCCCCCAGTAACTCCTTGTAGTCATCTTTGTCTGAAAGCAGACAAGAGAGACAGAAAGCTGGCTGCTTGGCTGCCCTGTAAGAACCCCTTTATGATCCTAGACAGTCTCTTCTTGAGGAAGAGAGAGATTGGGGAAGAGCAACATGCCCTGTTCTTACCAAATGGACTCCAGCTGCACCATGTGGTATCATTGAGACTGTGGGTGTCATTGATGGGGTTGATCAGCCCTGAGCAATTCTGATGCAGACGGCTCTGAGAGGCAATGGTAGTCATAGGTTAGGGATCTTCCCATCACCCAAGAACCCACTCAGCCCAGAGAGGAACAAGCCACCTCCGACCCAACTACACCATTCAATGCTTCCTCCTGCTGGCACCTCCCCCAGCAGGGATGGGAAGGTGGCCACATCAGACCCAGGAGCAGAACCTATAGATCCCAGGGCTCTGCCTCCTCATCCCATTCATATGCACTGGCACTATTGTCTTGGTGAATAAACTCAAAGGGAGCCCCTAGGGAAACACTGCTGGGGAAGAGTGCTAGTAACAGGGGCCCTGTGCCGGGAGGAGCAGTCGGCGAGCAGGGTGAGGAAATGGGGAGAACAACAGCCCAAGGTCCAGACCCTTCTACCACAGTGCACGTCTCCTGCGTCCTGCATTCTCCCTTACCACCCAGCCTCACCTTGACCACACTGATGGGCTTCCTTGACATGTGATAACAGGTATAAATGAGGAAGGTGAGCAGCAGGGTGAAGCCACGGTACCTGCAGGAGAAGATAGACATCCAGATCAGCAGGAAGACAGGTGCCTCAGCTCCAGGGCCTCAGCACCATTGACTTTACCTTCAGGTTTCTTCCAGACACATGTGCTTCAGGGCAGAGGTCAAGGGAGGCTGGGAACAACAGCCAGAGGCCAGACTGCTGGGGGTTCCGGTCTCCCTGGTCAGAACTCTGAGCCCTTTAGCAGAGCCTGCTTAGCTGGGCACTCACAACTCAGGGAGGTGCTCCTCTGCTCCTGCCTCCTCCTTCTCCTCTGTTTCTCTGGGTTTCACCAAGGCAAGGGTGCTTCTGTTTCTGCATGTTCGACTGAGATGGTGGCAGGGAATTGGGTAATTTTGTAAATGTCAGAAATGATGGGATTTGGAGGCAACTGAAGGGGGAGAAGGGTCTGTCTTCAAAGTGGGGTCAGTGTTCCCCTTAAACTTAGCAGACAGAGCCCAGGTCACAATTGGAGATGAGTCACCTGGGACAGTTGGTGACATAACTCAACTTGTCTCTGCTGGTCCCAGGCTGCTCCCACTCTCTTGAATGGAAAGATCTTTTTTTTTCCCCCTCTGCAGTTCACATGTTCCATGCATTGGGTGGGTATGGAAAGGACAGTCCAGTCAGGCCCCACTCACAGTTTCCAGCCCCTTCCCCTGTCCTGAGGGTCTGGGGAATAGTTGCAGTGCCCGCCTGAGTCAACATCTGCTTCCCCAGCAGGGCATCAGCTGAGTTGAGTCAGCAGCCAGCAATCAGAAAGTATATGGAAAATAGACTTCAGAATGGGGGCTGGGGATGCAGCTTAACATACATCATATGCTTAATATGCCCGAGGCCCTGGATTTGATTCCCAGGACCATCAAAAAAACCCAAAACCAAAAATACCAAAGAATAGCTCCCACCCTGGGAGAAAGAGCTGGGCCCTGAGAAAGACCCAGCAGCCTTTGCTCATTGAAGATATCATTCAAAAGTGGGAGGCCTTGGAGCCCTCTCCCAAATCTCTTGGCTCCATGAGCCCGAGGGCAGACACTACCTGCTCACTCAATCCTCGCTGGGATCCTGCCTCCAAACCCCAAATTCACTTCCCCCAAACCTCCTGTGAAGCAATGCAGGATATCACTGTGAAAGAAAGGGTATTTTTGCAAAGCCTGAGTCTGGGTTGGGCTGTCAAACTCCTCTCACTTGACTTGGTCTTGAGCTTCTGAACTAGATCTCTGTCTCCATTCTCTCCCCTGCCCCAGAGTTTACCTTCTGAAGAGAAGGAACTTACACATGCGTCTCTTCATTGCTTGGCTTTAATTTTCTGTTTCTTTCCATTCCATCAAGAATGAAGTCCTAGCTAGGCAGCTTGAATTTCCACAATCTGGCCTCCCTGACTACTCGTTCCCAAAGGCACCCAGGTGAACCGGAGAGGTCTTCTAAGCACTTGAGTTCTATAAGGAAGCCAGGGCCACCCCATGTGCCTGTCACACTGACACACATCAGCAAGCTTTGGGGCAGCAGTTTTCCAGGTTCCACCAATTGCCATATGGCTCACAACTCCTAGTTAAGGGACTTTTAGAATTCTCTGAGAGAATTTAGAGAATGTACCCAGCTGCCTTTGTGTAAAGAGAAATAGATGAAAGAACACCGGAGCCTATAGATAACACCAATCCTGTGTCCTGCCAAGGATGCTGCCTGATCCAGGGGAAAAAGCAGGAAGCTTTGAGTGATGGCTCTCACTCACTTGTTAAGTAAGAATTTTCTGTCTCTGGTTTCCTCCTTATTTGCACATGGATGGCAGCATCAGCCCCATCTATCTCACAACAAAAAAAGAATATAATCTTACTCTCACTCTGATCCCTTGGCCCCTGGTGGTATCACCTTTATGACCCCCAATCTTCAGCTAAGCCTATCTTGCCTGACCTTTCCAGGATGTATGGCCACTGACCATAGCAACAAATCAGATCCTATCTGGATCTGAAAGACCCTCAGGGACCCAAGGGCCCACTGAGGTCCTCACAGGCCCATCAGAGCCTGGTGTTGACTGAGACCTGCAGACCTGCAGAGCTCCTGATAGGAGCTGGGCAAAGCCAAAGTGGGCATGGAAGGGTAGCCCAGCTGCCAGCAATCTTTCCCCTGCTGCCTGACTTCTGCACACTGCTTCGCTCCTATGTTCCAGGAGGTGCCCACCAAGGAAGGCCACAGCCCTGACTTCCCTGCCTTTGGTCCCAGGTGTTCTTCCATGCCCCTTTCGCCTAGACTCCCATCCCTCCCAAGTGTGAGTAGGAGGAGCTGTGCCAGAGGACAAACACCTTCGTGTCTGTGTCTAACATTGTGATTCTCTCGGCAGAAAGACAGCTGCTCTTCTGTCCATTCATGTACCTGCACATCCCAAATACAGTGCTAGTGATCCAGTGACAGGAAGAGAAGTCCCAAGAGGGACCCCTGTCCTCCTGGAATTCATGGATAATGGGAAGGTGGACAGAATTGGCGCAACTCTGCTATATAAAAGGGAAGCCCTTCGTGGCAAGGAGGATAGAGAAGGGACACTAAGCTCAGTGTGATGGGGGCAGGGGCAGGAAAGGAATCCCAGAGGTGAAGTTTCAGTTGCAACTTCAAAAAAAAGAAGGCGGTGGCCAGGCCAGTCGGGGCTGTGCAGGAAGATGTGTCAGGGAGAGGAAGCAGTGCATGCAAAGGTGCAGAGGCGTGAAATAACACTACCTGTTTGGGGAACTCTGCATAGTTCGGGATATCTGGAAGGTGGGACTGAGCCAAGGACAGAAGGAGGAGTGGCTGGGAGGAGACAGAGCCCAAGCCAGGTAGAGCCTTGAGTGCCAAATGGTAGCATTTGGGCCACCTCTTGAGGATGACAGGCAGCCATTGGAGGGGCTGAGATTTCCTAGGCCAGGGTGCTCTGGATACCAGCAGGCAAAGTCACCTTAAGACTCAGGGCTCTACCCTGTTGATTTTGGGGAGAGGCCGCAGATAGCCTCCTCACTACAGGGTTGGGGCCATTCTCTGTGCATTTTGAATTCTGCCAGCTATTCCCCAGCACCTGGCAGCCTCATGGGGTTCCTAGGTGGTATATTTTAAGGATGTGATGTCTATAAGAGAAAAAAGAAAGGACTTAGGAATCGAGCAGAAGCTAGTTTCATTCCTTAAAACTGTTTGTGTCTCTGAAAGCAGTTTATTATCTCACTCATAGAATTACCAACAGGTTAGTAAGATGATGAGTATAACAGGTCCTATAGCATTCCTGACACCAGTGGGCATTAAAAAATGCTGCTATGCTTGTTTCCAATTTGCAGATGATGAAGAAGAGCTGAAGGAGCTGAGGCATCCCTTGCTGTTCTGTTGTTAGAACCAAGAATGGCACCAAACTTCTCTGGATCATGGGTGATCCAGGCCCTGGATTCACCAGGCCCAGGGACATATAAAGGCCAGCATGCCTCCCAGCCCAGCCTCCCCAGGAGGCACAAAGATCCGAAGCTGCCAGAGCTCAGTCTCTCTGGGGTACCTGCTGGGCTTTCCCACTGCTCCCTCAGGGGCATACAGGAGGATCAACAGGGGTCCACACTGGCATCATGACTCCCCTCCTCTGGGATCTGCCTGATGTAGACCACAACCTCCAGCAGAAAACCCAACCTCCATATCAGCAGGAGAATCAAGATGTCTGGGGGTCTTCAGCTGTGCTACATGGTGCTAGGACTGGCCCTGGTTTCCTCTGGGGTTTCCTGTCTGAACTCCAGAAGGATGGAGAGATGAGCTCAATGTCACAACACTGGTCGAGCACAGTGCATCTGCAGTTGGGTCTCCTCCTAGTCCAATGCTCTTTCCATGACACTTTGTCAGGTCTTCTGGGGAAAAGACCCAGGTGCCATCATTCGAAGAGACATTAGAAAAATTCAAATTGAAATTACACTCAGACTCCACCTTACACAAGTCATAATGGTTATCAACAAGAATACTAAATTAGTAAGTAAATAAATGTTGGTGAAACTATGAGAAAAGAGGAACCCTCTATACTGCTGATGGGAATGTAAATTAGTACAGCCACTATGAAAATCAGTACGGAGGTTCCTCAGAAAGCTAGAAATAGAGCTACCATTTGACCCAGCTATACCATTCTTTAGTATACAAGGGGTGATCAAAATATACAGTGAATGTTTAAATAAATTTATTACAGTAAAAGATACATTGCACACTAACCCCCTCCAAATATTTTCCCTCATTCTCAACATACTTATCCACCATTCTTGCCACCTTCTAAAGCAGTTCTAGAAGTCCTCTTTGTGACTGTCTTTATGATGTCTGATAAAAATATGGTGGGGTGGGGATTTAGCTCAGTGGTTCCAGTGTCAAGTGCAAGGTCCCGAGTTCGATACCTGGTACCAAAAAAAAAAAAAGGTGGATGTTGCTCCTAATTGCCATCTAAAGGAAAGGCAAGCTTATAAAAACATTATGTTATGCATTGTCCATCAATGTGCAACTTCTGCCCCAATGTCAAAATAATGTTTTGAATCAATTCAGGACATCAAGGCAGCTATGCCAGTATAATTAAAGGCATTCACAGAAGAGGACTTCCAGAAGTGTTTCAGGAAGAGCCCAAAACAATGGGATAAGTGTCTTTGAAGCAAGGTGGACTATTTTGAGGGTGATTAATAGCATAGTATCTTTTATTGTCCAAAATGAAAAAAAAATTTAACATTCACTGTATTTCTTGACCATACCATGTATCCTTGAAGGAATTAAAGTTAGCATACCGTAGGGTTACCTGCATATCTATGTTTATTGGTACAATTCATGATAGCCAAGATATTGGAACCAGCCTGGGTGCCCATCAACAGATGAGTAGATAAAGGAAACCTGGTATATAAACACCATGGGGTATTATTTAAAAGGAATGAAATTATATCATTTGCAGAAAGATGGATAGAACCAGAGATCACCATGTTAAGCGAAATAAGCCAGACTCAAAAAGACAAATACAGGATGTTTTCCATGGTAGGTGGAGTCTAAGA